GGGCCACCAAACCTTCTCTGGCTACAAATATTGGGTCACTTTCATCGATGATTTCTCTCGCTTTCGCTTTGTTTTGCCTCTAAAAGCGAAGTCTGATGTCTTTGAGGCCTTCAAAACCTTCAAAGCCTTTGCTGAGAACCAGACAGAGCGAAAAATCAAGATTTTGCGCGATGACAAAGGAGGGGAGTATATGAGCAAGGCCTTTGCTGATTTTACCACCCAATGCGGTATCCTGCGCCAGCACACAGTCAGAAATCGACCCCAGCAGAATGGAGTTGCAGAGCGAGCCAACAGACTGCTTTCTGAGCGAATTACAGCCATGTTGGACGAGTCTGGGCTGCCCAAGGCCTTCTGGGGCGAGTGCCTTGCCTCCCTGGTGCATGTGTGGAACAGGTGTCCTACTGAAGCGGTTCAGAATGCAACCCCATATCAGCTATGGCATGGGAGGAAAGCCAGATGTCTCCCATCTTCGAGTTTGGGGCTGTACAGCCTATGTGCACATCCAGAAGGACAAGAGGCAACCCCTAGATCCCCACATGGAAAAATGCGTGTTTATTGGTTATCCTGAGGGCTACAAGGGGTGGAAATTCTATAACCCTACCACAAAGCGCACCCTGATCTCTGAGAGGGCTGATTTCGATGAGAGGAACTTCCCTCTATCCACTCGCCCCTCTACACCATCCCTGGACACCCCAGAACCACCCAAGGTGCCCCAAGCCGCCTCACCAGCTCCAAATTGCACCCACTACCACTCCATTCCAGATCTGGACTCTGAAAGCGAGTCTGATGACACACTGGATCAAGGGGGTGATATTGAGCCAATAGGAGCTGATCCAAATCCCATTCAGCCTCAGCTTCCTCCCCCTGAACCTCCTGCACCTCCTCTTCGCACTCCATCGCCTGTACCACCCCCTCGTGTGCCTAGCCCTGTTGGAATAGGTGCCAGACTTCCCAGGAGGCACAGACAGAAGCCTAGAGAGTGGTGGAAGCTCTCTCCTGCGCAATTGGATGATGTGGAGGACATGGAAGACAGTGATGATGAACTGGCTATGTCTGCATCCCTTCCTGATGAGCCACTCACATTTGCAGAGGCAATGCGACGTCCCGATGCTGAAAAATGGCGAGAAGCAGCTCTGGAGGAATTGGCTGCGCACCAAAGCAATGGGACATGGAAACTTGTCCCTAGGCCTCCTGGGAGCAAAATTATTGGCTCCAAGTGGGTATTCAAGGTGAAGCGCAATGCTGATGGATCCATAGAGCGCTACAAGGCTCGATTGGTTGCCAAGGGCTATAATCAGCGCCCTGGTTTCGACTATCTCGAAGTATTTGCTCCTACAGCTCGCCTTGCATCCATCAGAGTTATCCTGGCCATTGCAGCCCTCCAGGACCTTCATCTTCGCTCTGTTGATGTCTCCCATGCATATCTGAATGGGGAGATGGACTGTGAAGTTTATATGGCACAACCAGAGGGATTTGTGGAGGGAGATGCCAGGTCTGAGGTGTGTCTTCTCCAAAAAGCGATTTATGGCAGCAAGCAGGGTGGAAACCGGTGGAACAAGAAGATGCGCTCTGTACTGGAGTCCCTTGGCTTCAGACAGACCTATTCTGATGCCAGCATCTACATCTACTCCCAAGATGATGTCACCATCATTTTACCTGTCTTTGTCGATGATATGACCCTTGCCTCGCGCTCTGCAGAGGCCATTGACTCCTTTGTCTCAAAACTGAGCCAACACTTCAAAATTCGCGATTTGGGGCCTACCACTCAGCTGTTGGGCATTAAAATTGACAGAGACCGCCCCAATCGCTCGATTTCCCTCTCCCAGCGCCAGTACTGCCTCGATGTCTTGGAGCGATTTGGAATGGCTAACTGTAAGCCCATCTCCACTCCAATGGAGCCCAATCTTCGCCTATCTCGCCAGCAATCACCCCAGAGCCCTGAGGAAGCTCAAACCATGCGCAAAGTCCCATATCTTTCTGCTGTGGGTGCCCTGATGTATCTGGCAACCACAACTCGCCCAGATATTGCATATACTGTTGGAGTTCTAGCCAGGTTCAATTCTAACCCTGGCTGGGCTCACTGGCTTGCTGTTAAACACTTATTGCGCTATCTGAAGGGCACTCTGGATTATGCCATCACTTATTCCCCAGATTCTTCGACTGCTGAGCTATTTACCACCTTCTCTGATGCAGATCATGGTGGGTGCAGGGATTCTGGTCGCTCCACAGGTGGTTATGTGGTCAAGATGGGTACTGGAGCTGTTTCCTGGTCATCCAAGCTGCAGGGAGTCGTCGCCTTATCAACCACTGAGGCAGAGTACATGGCAGCTGTCCAAGCTGGCAAGGAGATCAAGTGGATGCGAAACCTACTCCAGGAAATCGGTTTTTCACTCCCTAAGCCTTCTGTTCTCCTCATGGACAACCAATCTGCGATCTCTGTTGCAAAGAACCCTGAACACCATGGAAGGATGAAGCAACTTGATCTCTGCTACTACTGGCTAAGAGATGCGGTGCAGGAGAGTCTTATCTCACCTGTTTTCATTCCTACCACCTCCCAGGCTGCAGATCTCCTCACCAAAGCATTGCCTCGTCCCAAGGTCATTGAATTCTGCAAGATGCTAGGACTTGGTGCATCAGGGGGAAGTACTTGACTTCAGAGTTGCACAATCAGGGGGAAGTGTTCATATGTGGTGCCTGTGCACCTCATTTCGCAGTTTGTCCTTTATTATGTTCTGTTCTCACTCTACAGACTTGCAGTGGGCACTTAGCTTCGCTCTAAGTGTCCTTGGTTTACATTTGTTTATTATTTACATCTGTTTATCATTTTTGCGCACTTACTGCTCTGTGCCCAGTGATATTTTCTTCAGTCTCTTACACTGGGCACAAGGTATGTTTCCTGTAGTATTTACTTAAATATTAGTCTCTTACACTGGGCACAAGGCCTTAAGACTGGGTGATTTTATCAGTTGATTGGGTGGGTTTGAAGCGTCCAGAGAAGGTAAGGAAGGGCGCTTGGACAGGGGGAAGTACCTTTCATCAAAGTCAGCCCTTTCTGAGATTATGGTGCACTTGGAGGTGGGATTGTAGAATTTCCAGCCCTTGTAACCTTCTGGATAGCCAATAAAGACACATTTCTCTGTGTGGGACTCCAGAGGGCGCCTCTTGTCTTTCTGGACATGTACATAGGCAGTACAGCCCCACACTCGAAGATGGGAGACATCTGGCTTCCTTCCATGCCATAGCTCATATGGGGTCGCATTTTGGAGGGATTCAGTGGGGCACCTGTTCCAGACATGGACCAGGGCAGCTAGGCACTCACCCCAGAATGCCTTGGAGAGCCCAGACTCATCCAGCATTGCAGTGATGCGCTCAGATAGCACCCTATTTGCTCTCTCTGCAACTCCATTCTGCTGGGGGCGATTCCTGACAGTGTGCTGGCGCAAAATGCCGCATTTTGATGTGAAATCTTCAAAGGCCTTGCTCATATACTCCCCTCCTTTGTCATCGCGCAAAATCTTGATTTTTCGCTCAGATTGGTTCTCTGCAAATGCCTTGAACCTCTGGAAGGCATCAAAGACTTCAGATTTGGCCTTGAGAGGCAGGACAAAGCGAAAACGCGAATAGTCATCGATGAAAGTGACCCAATATCGATATCCTGAGAAGGAGAGATGGCCTACATCATGCACATCGCTGTGGACAAGTTCCAGAGGCCTGGTTGCATGCCAAGTCGAGCTAGGAAAGGGATTTGCATGCATCTTGCCAGCCAGGCATGGTTCACAGATGGGATCAGGGGAGGACTTTGAGTCTAGGGTCATGCCAGTGACCAAATTTCGCTCTAGAAGGGATTTAACACCAGCCACATGGTGGTGGGCAAGTCTTCTGTGCCAGAGGTCTAGGTCTAGAGGGCAGGTGGTTGCAGCAGAGGCATATTCAGTGATGGGGAGTGTCTCCCCCTCCAGGAAAGCGCTATTGTTGTCCATAATTCTTGCAATGAAGAGGACAGGCCCAGGGGGGCGTCTAAAGGATATCTGCGCAGAATTGATGCTAGCAGAGAAGCCCCTGTTGCGACAGAGATATAAGACAGAGAGCAGGTTGTTGCGCAGGTCAGGGACATGCAGGACATTGGTGATCTCCACAGGGCGACGCTTCTGGCCTCTGACCACAGGCACAAACACCACAGACCCAACTCCAGCAGAGTATACCAATTTGTTGTCTGCCAGTCCTGTACAGCGTCTACATGGGTCCTTTGTTCACTAGAAAGCGCCAGATAGAGTTCTCCAGCTGCCTTGTCAGCTCTGAGGTCCCATTTGATCTGAGCTTCGAGTTTGGAGTCATCAGGGCGCTTCTCAGTGCCACTGACAATGGTCCAGAGGCCCTTGGTGCGAAGGAAAGCTTTCATCTCGCCCTTCCAGGTGTTATAGTTGGTGGAGGTGAGTTTTGACACAGTGGTCGATGGGTGGGAGTGTTCTTCAGCCATTAGGGCGAGTTTCGAGCAGACAGGGGGAGCAGGGAATGGATGGGATGAGTCTCGAAGTTTGGGTGCGAGGAAAATGCGGTAGAGGCCGAGGGAGTGGGTGTAGCGGGTCGAAATTTCGCGCAGAGACTGATGATGTGTCGTATGACGTGTCCAGAAAGTCCTAGAGCGCGGGGCTCATAACCTGATAAAATCACCCAGTCTTAAGGCCTTGTGCCCAGTGTAAGAGACTGATATTTAAGTAAATACTACAGGAAACATACCTTGTGCCCAGTGTAAGAGACTGAAGAAAATATCACTGGGCACAGAGCAGTAAGTGCGCAAAAATGATAAACAGATGTAAATAATAAACAAATGTAAACCAAGGACACTTAGAGCGAAGCTAAGTGCCCACTGCAAGTCTGTAGAGTGAGAACAGAACATAATAAAGGACAAACTGCGAAATGAGGTGCACAGGCACCACATATGAACACATTTGGCTGACCTCAAACTCATCTGGGGTAGTGATAATGCCCTCCAGGCATGTAATGTCAACCTCACAATGTATCTTCATATCCTTTGGCACTAACTCTGGCTTCCAGACTAGCCATATGGGGATGTGTGCTTCAAAGAGTTGCTTGCAGACATCAGGATCCATGGTATATGCACCCATCCAATGCTGTTTTGCATTAAAAAATGGGCCAGAAGGGGGGGTAATTTTTATCTCAAGGGAGTCTACCATAGCATAAATATCCAGACAAAGATGTTGGAAGAGCATGACTAGGACTACTGTATCACAGAAAGTGAATGGGAGTTGCTATGGAATTGTCAACTATTGAAATATCAGACAATGAGATATCATACCTTCAGATGCATGAGAGACCTTTGACATTGCCTAATCCATATGTGCACCCAGAGAGGTCCCTCATCATCAGGGTTCTTTGGCAGCCAGTTCTTCACCTGCTCTTCTAGTCACTTATACATGATTTCCAGATGCTTCCACTTGTGCAGATGAACCCTACCAACCCTGAATGCCAATCCTCTCTCCAAGGCGAAGTCTTCTGGCACATTCCTGATGTTCCATGACATCCAAGACCATGTTGGGTTGTCCCAATAGACTGCATGTCAAGGGATACATCTGGCCCACATATAATGCTTGGCATATAGTTGAGGCCACTGGAAACAGTCAATGTGGCCAAATCAGCCATCACAGCAGAGTGTGATTGTCCTCCCCTTGAAGAGAAACAGTTCAGGAATGAAGTTGGCATTAGGAGAGGTGATCCAGTGGTTGTTATATTTCGTGAGAACATGTGTGTCAAAGGCACCATAATTCCCTGAAAGAGAATGTATTGGTTATGAGCCACATTAGGTTAAATAATAGAGTGCCCCATCACCTGGTTGGGTTGCTGCCATGACCTGTTGAGTGTGTTCTTGAGGCATATTGATCCTATAAATGAAATAAGAACTGAAATATATAGCATCTTAGTACAGGTTCCACTACAGGGTCAATAAAAATGTACCCAGGAGATAAGAGGCATTTGAAGGGGGGAGGAGATAAATAAAGCAATACAACTATAGTAGAATTGTTGAAGTGCACCCTGTGTTGCAATAAATGTGACCAGACAGGGGATTGAACCCTGGACCTCCCAGGTTTCGACCGGGTGCTCTAACCACTGAGCTATTTGGTCAAGGTATCTAGGCTTACTTGGTGTGGTTTAACCACCAAGTGCTAGTAGGGACTAGCGTTGCTGAGTGCTGGAGTACTACACTTGCAACAGCCTCCCCTAATCCAGTGCACAGCAACAAGGCACAAGCGTGGGAAATCACTGCCTAAAGTGGCAACTGCCTTAAGTGGTAGGTCTTACACATGCTGCCTCCTGCAAAGGTCTTAGATGGCTCAGGGGCCATTCTGCCTTAATTGGTAGGGCTTATACATTGTTGCCTCCAGTAAAGGTCTTACTGAGGCACAAGTAGGTCTTAATGGGGAAATCCCAGCTGTGGGAATCCATTGCCTTAAGTAGAAAGGACTTACCAGGACATTCCCACAAGCGCCCGGGGCTCATAACCTGTTGCAATAAATGTGACCAGACAGGGGATTGAACCCTGGACCTCCCAGGTTTCGACCGGGTGCTCTAACCACTGAGCTATTTGGTCAAGGTATCTAGGCTTACTTGGTGTGGTTTAACCACCAAGTGCTAGTAGGGACTAGCGTTGCTGAGTGCTGGAGTACTACACTTGCAACACCCTGGCACCAAGTTGGAGTACCAGCCACGACATGGAGTCACATCATCCAATGTTCCTCTGACAACACTAGCATTGCTGGTATCTGTGAGACCATCAAGGGGGGAGATAAATGAGAAAACAAGTGGATCATGCACCTACATGGTATATAGAACCTTGCACCTGATGAAGATTTCATGCACAGATGCCAGGCACACAGTCTTCAATGCCCTGAGTTGTGCTATGCAAGGTAGTGCCTCCATGAAATGGAGTCTTGTCTGTGTGACTGGTACCACAAGCACACCAAGTTTACTGAGATAGGCACCAAACCCTTTGAATCCTGGCAGAGGAACACACCAAACATTCCTCTCTGCAACATGAATTGATAAAAAGAAAGAAGAAGAAAGAAGAACTCACCTTAGACAGTAGTGTGAAGGCAGTCATGGATTAAGATGCATGGATTGTTTAAAGAGCTTGCAAAAGAAGTGTGACAAGTGCAGTGAGCATGTGATCATTACCACATTAAGTCAGAGCTGACTTAGCATGAGAAATTTGTTGCTATTAGTGCCTGTGCACCTCAGACTAATTGCCAGGTCCCCCACCTTCCATATTAATGATGTGTTCACTTATTTTCATCAGTTGTTCTTTGTTTGTTCAGTGTTCGCATTTTTACTGTGCACAGAGTATCTTGTTCTTTAGTTACTGACTCTGTGCACATAGGTGTGTAAAACTACATAGACAACAATTTAGTTACTGACTCTGTGCACATAGTGCTGAGCATTGGGATATATTAACAGGTTATGAGCCCCGCGCCTTAGGACTCTCTGGACACGTCATTTGCCACGTCATCCACCTCTGCGCAATTTTCCATACTTCCTGGACCTATCCCTCGCTCTCTAGCCCTATATTTGTCGCCAGAAGCCCCAGAACTCACCCATTGCATCTGTGTCTTGCCAACATGAGTGAAGACATCACCACTGCTGCCCTCTCCATTACCCAGCTCACTGCCTCCAACTATGCTGCCTGGAACAGCAAAATGAAGGCCTTCCTGCGCTCTAAAGGACTGTGGACCATTGTCAGTGGTACTGAAAAGCGCCCTCCTGTCTCTGAAAGCGATCTGTGCCTCCAATGGGACCTCAGAGCGAACCAAGCAGCTGGAGCACTGTATCTAGCCATCTCTGGTCGCTTCAGAACCCTTATTGAACCTGTTGAGGATCACCCAGACCTCATTTGGTCAACCCTGGCTACTATGCATCTCCAGGAGCCTCCCATTGCTACAAGTCAAGCCCCCATACCTTCCAATTCGCTCCAACAGCCCATGTCTATGCATAGGCGATGTATACACAGCCAAAACCTGCCCCCAATTGCTGAGTTTGCTGGAAATGCAAGTTTTCGCTCCACAGATCCCTCCTCGCCTCTCTACCCCCTCCAACTCGATGCAGATGTCCACTGGAATGCAGATACTGGTGCCACTGCACACATGACCCCTCATCGCCACTGGCTGCGCAATTACACCCCCAAATGTGTCCCTGTGAGACTGGCAGACAACAAATTGGTATACTCTGCTGGAGTTGGGTCTGTGGTGTTTGTGCCTGTGGTCAGAGGCCAGAAGCGTCGCCCTGTGGAGATCACCAATGTCCTGCATGTCCCTGACCTGCGCAACAACCTGCTCTCTGTCTTATATCTCTGTCGCAACAGGGGCTTCTCTGCTAGCATCAATTCTGCGCAGATATCCTTTAGACGCCCCCCTGGGCCTGTCCTCTTCATTGCAAGAATTATGGACAACAATAGCGCTTTCCTGGAGGGGGAGACACTCCCCATCACTGAATATGCCTCTGCTGCAACCACCTGCCCTCTAGACCTAGACCTCTGGCACAGAAGACTTGCCCACCACCATGTGGCTGGTGTTAAATCCCTTCTAGAGCGAAATTTGGTCACTGGCATGACCCTAGACTCAAAGTCCTCCCCTGATCCCATCTGTGAACCATGCCTGGCTGGCAAGATGCATGCAAATCCCTTTCCTAGCTCGACTTGGCATGCAACCAGGCCTCTGGAACTTGTCCACAGCGATGTGCATGATGTAGGCCATCTCTCCTTCTCAGGATATCGATATTGTTAAGATATCCACAAACTGAGGCTGGTGCCCAGTGTAAGAGACTAATATTGAGTGAAGTAATACAGGACTGTACCTGGTGCCCAGTGTAAGAGACTGAAGAAAATTTCACTGGGCACAGAGCAGTAAGTGCGCAAAAATGATAAACAAATGTAAATAATAAATAAAAGCAAACCAAGGACACTTAGAGCGAAGCTAAGTGTCCACTACATGTCTGTAGGGTTAGACAGAGATAAAATAAAGGGAAAATGCGGTCTGAGGTGCACAGGCACCTAATATGAACACTCCCCCCTGAATGTGCACCTCTGCACTCAACTGCTCCCCCCTGATGCGCCAAGTCCTAGCATCTTGCAGAAACCGATGACCTTGGTGCGATGTAGCGGTTTGGTGAGAAGATCTGCAGCCTGGTCGACTGTAGGGACAAAAATAGGCGAAATCAGGTTCTGCTGAACTGCATCTCTTAGCCAGTAGTAGCAGAGGTCAAGTTGCTTCATCCTCCCATGGTGTTCTGGGTTCTTGGCCACAGAAATCGCAGATTGGTTGTCAATGCGAAGGGTAGAAGCATCTGGGAGAGGGAGGCCAATTTCCTGCAACAGATTTCGCATCCATTTGATCTCCTTGCCTGCCTGGACTGCAGAAATATACTCTGCTTCAGTGGTGGACAAAGCGACCACTCCCTGAAGCTTGGAAGACCAGGATACTGCACCAGTACCCATCTTGACCACATATCCACCAGTAGAGCGACCAGAATCCTTGCAACCACCATGATCAGCATCAGAGAAGGTTGTGAATGGCTCAGAGGTCGAAGGATCAGGAGCATAAGTGATGGAATAGTCCAGAGTGCCCTTCAGATAGCGCATCAGGTGCTTTACAGCTTGCCAGTGGGCCCAGCCTGGGTTAGAGTTGAATCTGGCCAGAACTCCGACAGTATAGGCTATATCTGGTCGAGTTGTGGTGGCCAAGTACATCAGAGCACCCACAGCAGATAGATAGGGCACCTGGCGCATTTGTTCGACTTCCTGAGGGTTCTGAGGCGATTGCTGGCGAGATAGGCGAAGATTGGGTTCCATAGGTGTGGAAATGGGCTTACAGTCTGCCATTCCAAACCTGGTCAAGACATCCAGGCAGTATTGTCGCTGGGAGATGGATATGGAGCGATTGGGGCGGTCTCTGTCAATTTTGATGCCGAGGAGTTGAGTTGTAGGGCCCAGATTGCGGATTTTGAAGTGCTGGCTCAGTTGTGAGACAAAGGAGTTGATGGCAGTCTCAGATTTCGAAGCTAGAGTCATATCATCCACAAACACAGGCAGGATGATGGTTACTCCATCCTTGGAGTAGATATAGATGCTAGCATCAGAATAGGTCTGTCTGAAGCCAAGGGACTCGAGTACAGAGCGCATCTTCATGTTCCAGCGATTTCCACCCTGTTTGCTGCC